ATCTAAATGTCTGTCAATTAGGAGTGCTCCTGATGGTAGAAGGGGGAGAGGACGCTATGCTCGAGTTTATAAAAGGTCAAGAGATAGAATAATATGGTTGTGTTCAGCAATTGAAGATGATGACTTTCGCCCTATGGCTGCTCCGAAGATTAAGCAGAACATTTATGACTTTAGAAGAAATCCACAGTTTTCAAGTATTATTATTGGAGTTGGACAAGATAAGGACATCAATTGTTCTGTCGATCCTCATAATACATCTACGATCCCTATCGTTCGTAGTGTTGTAGTTGAGAGGGCGGAAGCTACAACTGTGACTGCTTCAGGGAAAGGTTATGAAAATAGAAGGAAGAGGAGAGCTTTAATTTCTGAAGCTCTTGATTTGGTTAATAATTTGACTGTTTCTTCATCCTCTTTTTCGGAATTGCTGAAGGAAGTATTAGATACTTAGGAAGTATGTGAGATGTTAGGAATTTCATTTAAGGAAGGGAATGAGGCTTTTATTGAAAAACTATTAAGTCTTGACCAAGAGATAGATGAAGTAAGGGGAGGATGATGGTTGGTCAATATTAGCTGACTGTAGGGGGTGTATTTCCTTTTTTATGAATAATTTTAGTCTTATTTCGTGGAACATTAGGGGTCTCGGGAGGAGGGAGAAGTGTGTAGCTGTATCAAGGTTGGTCAAGAAGTCGAAACCAATTTTTCTTTTCATACAAGAATCCAAGTTGGAACGATGTCATGGGTCGATTTTAAGAAAGATAGGGGGTAACTTGTTAAAGGGGGTGTTGGTCTCTCCAGCACAGGGATCTTCGGGGGGTCTGATTTCTTTGTGGAATGACAGTGTGGTTCATGTCATAGATCAATATGTGCATAGTAGGTTTTTAGCGTTAATGGGAAAATATAAGAATGGTACAATGGAGTTTGTAGTTATCAATGTTTATGGGCCTTCAGTTGAAGCTGAGAAGGAGGATTTTTATGGGGAGCTGTTGAATTTTGTTAGAGCTCGAAATTTACCAGTTTGTCTAGGGGGAGATTTCAATGCGTATCTTGATTCGGAAGAAAAGATAGGGAAGTCACAAAATTGGCATACTATCGATATTTTCAGGTCATTTGTGCAAAATGCCAACCTTATTAACTTACTTATGTCAGGAGGTTCTTTCACTTGGTGCAGCAATAGAGAAGATTCAACATGGGTTAGAATAGACCGGTTCCTAATCTGTGCAAGATTCCTTAAGAATTTCCCTAACATTGTACAGTTTCTTTTACTGAAATCTATTTCAGACCATAATCCAGTTTTGTTGGAGGATAAACCTACAAATTGGGGTCCAAAACCTTTTAGGTTTTTAATTTTCTGTTAGAAGAACAGAGTTTTGATGACTTAGTTGTTGATTCTCTGGAAGTAGAAGATAAGAAGAATAATAGTGGTGGAATTTTCAGAATGCTGCATGGTGCAAAAAATAAAATCAGTAACTGGTCTGGAAGTGGACATTTAGGACTGGCAGAGTCCATTTCGTTGCTGGAAATTAAAATTAACAGTTTGGACTTAAAGTGTCAAGGTGGAAATTTGTCTGTAGGGGAATGGGACTAATTGATTGAACTTAAAAAGGAATTATGGAGACTGTTAAGGATCGAGGAGAGAATTTGGTTTCAAAAATCCAGAAATAGATGGATTAAGGATGGCGATAAGAATACAAGGTTTTTTCACCTGAGTGCTATGAAAAGGAATAGAATCAACTCTATTCACTCTATCAAATTTAAAGGTAATTTAATCTCGGATCCAGAACACATAACAGATAAAAGACAGTGTGTTTAATTTTTTCAAGAATGCCTACAATGAGAAAACAACACTGGAAGTTGAGGGACTGAATTTTGATTTTAAGCAGTTGTCTCAATCTCAATCTGATTTCCTAGAGGAGGTGTTTACAGAGCAAGAAGTGTGGCAAGCAATTTCATCTTCTGAAAGTGCAAAAGCTCCTGGGCCGGATGGTTTCACCATGGGTTTTTACAAGAAGTATTGGAAGTTGCTAAAGGTGAAGATTATGGAGTTTTTTTACAGATTTCTTCAATGGAAAGCAGTGGGTTCATGGGGTAAATCATGCATTTATTACCTTGAATCCAAAGAAAGGTAATCCGAAGAGTATTGAGGATTATAGACCTATTAGTCTAGTGGGCAGCTTGTATAAGATTCTTTCAAAAGTCCTTTAAAAAAGAATGTCATCTTGTGTTAAAGATATTGTTAGTCCTACACAGTTCACTTTTATTCCAGGGAGGTAATTGTTGGATTGTGCCTGTGTAGCCAATGAAGGCATCGATTATTGGAGGAAACAAGGGCTGCATGGGGTTATTTTTAAAGTGGATTTTAGCATAGCATATTACACTGTGGATTGGCAGATTTTGTTAAGGCTTATAAAGGAGATGGGCTTCGGAGAAAGGTGGTGTTCTTGGATTGAGCAGTGTATTTCCACAACATCAATATATGTTTTACTGAATGGGTCTCATACAAAAGAGTTTCATATTGCGAAAGGTTTGCGACAAGGATACAGTCTTTTTCCTCTTTTATTTAATGTGGTTGGTGAACTTCTTCATATGATGTTAACTAAAGCTGTGGATTTAGGCTTATTTCAAGGGTTTTCTTTTGGAAAGATTCAAAACATTTTCAATTTGACTCACCTCCAGTTTGCTGACGACTTAATTATCTTTTGTCGAGCCTCCATCACTCAAATTAAAAATGTTATACGAGTGTTGATGATTTTTAGTGTTATGACGGGGCTTCATCTTAATTTAGTTAAAAGCAAACTTTATGGTATTAATGTGGAGGATGACATCCTTGGAAATTGAGCTAAGGACATTGGCTGCTCTATTGGTACCTTTCCGACGGTATATTTAGGCCTTCCGTTAGGAGCTAAAAGGAATTGTGAAAAACTGTGGGAGCCGGTAATTGCCAACTTTGATAAGAAATTTACGGGATGGAAAGTTCCTCTTTGTCCATGGCCGGTAGATTGGTGCTTATTAAGTCGGTATTATCCTCCTTACCTATCTTTTATCTTTCTATTTTCAAGATTCCATCTAAGATTTGTCAAAAATTAAACTCTTTGATGGCGAATTTTTTATGGGGTGGAGGGGAGGAGAAGAAGAAAATGCATTGGGTGAGTTGGAATAAGATTTGTAAACCAAAGAGTGGAGGTGGCCTAGGAGTCGTTGATTTGAAACTTACTAATAGAGCTTTGTTAGGAAAGTGGGGAAATTTGCAAATGATAAAGATTCCTTGTGGAAGAATTTCATATGTTCTAAACATAGTGTTAGTTGTAACTCTATGGATGTCAACAAAGTCTTATCTCACAAGGACTCTTGGATTTGGAGAGGTATTATGAATAGCTACATGAAGGATGATTTCATTGGAGGATGCATTAGATCACATGTGAGGCTACAAGTTGGGAATGGAAATTCGATCTCCTTTTGGAATGATACATAGTTGGGGGATTTTCCTTTGAAAGTTCTTTTTCCTAGGATTTTTGCCCTTTCATTTAATCAAGGGGTAAGGTTGCTAATTTTGCTAATTTTTGCCCTTTTGCAATCAAGTTGAAGAATCAGTTCAACACCTGTTTATTTCCTACCAGTTTTCGTGGGTATTATGGAACAAAATCATAGGTTATTGGGGTATCAAGTTAGGCTTACCTGTTGATCCGTCTTCAGTTCTAAATTCATGGTCTGTTCTGAGGCCTTATTCTAATATGTGGAAGTTTATCCCGGGGGCTGTTTTATGGTCAATTTGGAAGATGCGAAATGAAATTATTTTTGAAAGAGATAAGCTGGATTCATCCTCACTGTTTTTCACAGTTAGGTTAAGGTTAGCGAAATGGTTCCTCGCTAAGTATCCTTTACTCTCTATCCAAGTGGATTCTTTAATTGGGGATCCTTTATTGGCTGATAAAATTTCAGCCACTATGGATTTTAACAGGCTTGTGCTTTGCTGGAGTCCTCCTCCAGTCGATTTTTTTAAGTTTAACGTGGATGGAGTTGTGAGTTCTGTTGGGATATTAGCTGGAATTGGGGGAATTCTAAGAGATTAGAATTGGGTCAAGCTTATGTCGTTCTCAGAAAAATAAGGTTCTAGTCCTATCATTTTGGCAGAGTGCTATCAAAAGAGGTTTAGACATCTTTGTGGCATCAGAATGGGTATTGAAGGATAGGCTTATTATTGAAAGTGATTGCAAGTTAGCCGTCAATTGGTTGAAATTTCAGGAGTCAGTTCCACTTTATCTTTTTAAGTTTGTTAAGGATATTGCGGATGCGGTTTCTGAGAATGAATTCATTGTGAGGTGGATTCCGAGAAGTTGTAATAGCGAGGTAGATTTGCTAGCTAAGGAAGGGATTGGGTAGTGGTTCACTTTGTTGTACTAGGTTCGGAGGTCTTATTCCGAGGGTGTTATATGAGTGTGTTTAAGTCTTATGTATCTTCAACGAGTGGTTTAAGTCTTATGTAATCTTTTTTTGAAATCAATATATTGAGGTACTCTTTTCCTCCTTCCGCTAGTCGGTTCTAACCTCATGGTAAATGACTACTAAGAAGGAGGTTTTTAATGAGATCTACTATTCCTATCAAGAACCCTCAAAATACATGTAAATATCGATGAAAAAAATAAACGTACCCAAGTCTGAAAAACAAAAGGTGTCTCTCACTTTCCAAGTTCTTAACGATTTTACAATAGCAAACCCTTGCAAATGCATACAGCCATTCCGTAGTCTGAACGCAGCACTCATGTCCGACACATATCTAGACACTCGTTAGGGAATATGATCCTCCAAGAACACTCACAATACAAGAAAATATTGGAAAAAAGTTAAACATACTCGAGTGTCAGTGTAAGATAGGAATTTATCACTTTCTATGTTCTCAACAACTTCGCAATAGCAAAACCTCTAAAATGTATATAGCCATTCCTACACATTGAATAATATTCCTTAGGTGGGACATATCAACTCCTCAACATGTTCAGCAAACATTACCGCCGCATCAACATGGCATCATCGCAATTTATTATCCTATGACCAAAAAAGTTGAAGAAAAGGAAGCATACATTAGTTCCGGCAGTGAACTCTTCCTCTTCACGTGTGAAATCAGTGGAAACATCTCCATTAGACTCCGGATCTGCACCAGAAACTTGCCGCAACTGCTCAATCACCTTCTCAAGATAGGAATGATCTACAAAATAATTCATAATATTACCACTCTATTGGCACGACTTGCTAAAGCCTCAGAGAGTTTAAATGGAGATCGACGCTCTTCGTTCTTAAATTTTAGCTTGATCTGATGACGACTTCTTCCAGGAAAAAGTTGTTGTATCAATGAAAAATCAGGTCCAAGTTGCCGAATGGCCTGAAGTGCGTTACACCAAACATCAAGTGAAAAATCAGATCATAGATTCATTTTCGGAAGTGGTCAAAAGTATCCTGCAAACCAAACCTAAGTCTCTTCATAATACCTAACACGGGATTCATAATATCATAACTAAACTATCCCAAGACACATACTCCCAACCAACATACCAACGATGGTCCAATCACGAACTTTTGCATAACAAAACCGAAACAAAATTATAACCATGCAGACACTAGCACAATAAAGAAGGAAAACATTTTCATTTTTTTTTTCTATTTTTTACTTCATTGATAAAGTTTAGTTGGTTTTTAATGGAAGCAACAAAGATAAGAAATTCTTCAAGCACATACCCAGTAAAACAACTCTGTGTCTAGCTTTGACCATCTTACTCTGGGTTCTTTGCCCATATAAGTCTGGTAATTAAAGTAGGAACTTGATTTGGCGCTGCCACTCACTTGATCATCCGTAAAACCTTGGTCTTGTTCTGAAGCAATGGAGCTTTCTTCATCACGAGCATTTTCCTCATTGAAAGTCTTTTGATTACTGAACAAAAATAGTATAACAAAACCATAAATCAATGGACTGCATACAATGTTGAAAACAATTACTGAAATGAAAATTTCAATTACCTTTGATCGATCAAAGGTATTCCTAAAGTTTTTGCCTCTTTCTTCTGCATAAAACAACAGATTTAGGTCAGGTAAAAGACAATAGCAATGCATCAGCAAAGTTAATCGAACTGATATTCAAAGCTAAAAGACTTTTCAGGATTGAGGTAAGTATCAAAACTTTTATACAAAAATGGAAATCATACCGCTAACCGCTCCTTATAATCAGCAAGTAGAATGAGATCCTTTAAGGCCACCCTTGCAAAGTCAATTTCATCCTCCTGCGTGTTTAGTAAAGACTCATCCACTGGAAAAGAAAATGTATATTTCAGTGGGAAATAGATACCATACAAAGCAACATAGCTTTGAAGTCTAGAAGTTGTAAACCAAATCTTCTCTTTCTACGAGTTGAATGAGAAAATTTCTTCTTCTGTTCTTTTTCTGGATTATCTGATGCTTCATTGACCTCCTTAAGCTTTTGAGGTTGATTAGCTGTCTTACATTTTTGAGGAGGTTTTTCACTTTCATTCACAGATTTCTTTGACCTCTTAGTTCTCCTCTTTGCAGATACACGTTCCACATTATGTTCATCATTTTCATCACCATTGTTGTTGTCTTTATCCTCATTGATAGCATACGTGAGGGGTAGTACAGCGGCTAGACCACCGTCATTACAAGTCCCATCCTCAAGATCATCAACAATATGTGGTTTAGTCACCTGCTTTCTTGCTTTGCCATTTCCATTCACCTCATCTCTAGTAGAAGACTGCTTGGACTTTCGAGAAGGATGTACTAGAGAATTGTTCCTTTCCATGATATTAGAACTCTGAGAGCCAGTAGGAACATAAGCAGGATAGCATCACATAATGGAACTTCGAAATGAGTTCTATCCAAGTCCAAGATTAGATACAAAAGGAAGTTGTGGAAGGAAAAAAATTTACCACTTTAGGCACAACAGAAACATTTCCACAAAGGTTAACACCTGTGTTAGAAGGTGCTTCAAGCTGTTCCTCATTCACCAAACATTCAGAGGTAGAAAGAACAAAGTGAGCATTTGGAAGATGCACAACCAACTCAACCATAGCAGGTGGTGAGGTGAATACACTAGTTTGTAGTCTAAGCTTGGGTTTGAATTTTCCAGCACGCCTTCCTGAACATCAACAAAGACATCAGAAAGACACAACAAAACACCCTGCAGCGGAAGTACGAATAACGTAGCAATCAATCAATCACATACCAGAGGCAATCTTCATATCTGACATAATATCTAGAGTGTCAACATCAGGAAAGGCTCCTGCTTCCTGAAACTAAATAATTAATCAAGCCAAATTAATCCAAGGTAGTAAAGACAAACAAGAAATTCAAAAACTTTTACGGAAGTACAGATCTTCACCTGTTTCCTGTTTCCTTCATAATCAATCTGAATATCTCCATCATTATTTGAAGGTTGAGTACTTAAAGGATCAAAACATTCCAAACCATAAAAAGCATCTGCATTCTGAAAAAAATGTCATTTGTGAACGATTTCCTTCACCCTTAGATGAAAACAGTATTCCAAAATCTACCAAATAATTTATACCCGGTCTTGGAAAAAATGTTCTCGTTCACCAATAGTACTACTCTATGTTACTCCAACTCAGCCTTGCGTATCAAATAGATATGTGTCCTACAGATATCTGTTAATTTTTCTCTAAACTTCTCATAATTGATGATCCATGGAGAATCATATCCCAAACTCTATTCCAGGTATTAATGAAGAGTTGGAGCAATATAATTACTATAAACGAGATAGAAAGTATAGCTTTTCTTTACCTTCCCAACTGATTTTTCAAAGCTCGAATTAGCATCATTGCAACAATCTGAAACGGCCGCAGCAGCAAACAGAGAATCTGTGGCAGCTACTTGGGAGCTCCTACTGTAATCCACAACACTGTCGGGCTAGACAACATGAACTGCATCAATGGCGGCGGACGCTACCGTAGTGGCATCATCATTGGTAATTTCAGGGTGGTTTGAAGGGGTTGAGTTGAGCCAGAAGTTTCATCTTTGGCTTTACGTTTAAACCTGGGCTGAAACTTGGCACCAGCACGAGCTGCCAAGAGATTCAGAATCTAATTAAAACAACCAAGAAAGAAACAGGAAAACAAGAAAGACTTGAAGGTTTTTCTAACCTTGGGTTACAAGCGGCTCATCCGGAAATAAATCAGAATCTTGCAAGAACCTGGACTAGAACAATAAGACGACACTTATCTGTAAGCATGTTTTCTCTGTTATGAACCTTGAATTAAATTTGGATACGTGATTTTATGATCATAATTTTTCACTACCGTTCGGCTCTGATTTATGATTCGATTTACTTGTATCTATTTTTCGTTGACTATTTTAGTTGATTTTTAACATTTTTCATGTATGCCCTTAAACAATTTAAAGTAACTAGTTTTAATGTTCTAAGAAAATGTTCAAATTATATATTTAGTTTACAATAATAAGATTAGCAACTTCTATTAAAAAGAGATATTCATCAGTATAATAATATATTTAATATTAATGTTGATATATTTTATTATTTTAATTTTAATTTTAAATAATTTAATTTTTAATTAGTCTTAGTTTTAATTTTTTTAAAAATATATTTTATTACATATAATTCAAATATATACTATACAAAATTATAAAAATAATTTAAATGTTTAGAAAAGAAAATATTTAGAAAAATATATGTATAAAAATAAATTAAAAAAATCCCTCTTACAAAATAATTTTTAAAACACAAGACAATACGATTATCTTCTTCTAGAAACCAACAAAATCCATTCTTCAACATAGGATGGATATTGAGATTTTTCAGTAGATCAAATATATCATGCTAAAATAGAATTTCGCAAGCTCAATACACACGCACTGAATATACCGAATAGCAATGGCCAAACCAATTTTAATTTCACAATTTCGCTGCCAGATGAGTGGGTTTTCAAATGTTTCATTTGAGACTGTCTGTCTACTTCAATTATTTGTTATTATAAAGAGGGATTGGAAGGTGTTGCTTCTGTGATCTCAGATTCAACTCTAGCTCATACAAAACATTAGACAAGCCTAGATTATGTCATTTGCTGCACCTAGGGATGTAAACGAACCGAACTCAAACTCAAAAACTTTAAATATAAACTCGACTCAAAAACTTGTGAACTTAAATTTTTCAAGCTCAACTCGAAATAAAATATTAAAACTCGACTCAAACTCAAAAAAATTCATAAGCTCGATTCAAACTCGTTTTTGAGCTCGATTCAGACTTGTTTTTTTAACTCCATTCAAACTCGTTTTTTAACTAGATTCAAGCTAGAAGGGTTTTGTTTTAATTTGCTGAAACCCATCCCTTTTATACACTCCACTTTATCCCTTATTCCCAAGAACCACCGATGTGGGATATAACTCACATGACCAACTCAAGTTCAACCATGCTGAAAAGGCAAACGTGCGTATTTTTCCATTCCCGGTTGCTCATCATATGGCCTCTCCATTACTTTAAGCAGCCTCCGGACTTCTTCGAAATCACCCATTTCAGCTGCATCAATAGCACTCTGGCATAGGTAGTTCCTGAGAATATATTTAGGGTTCACCGAGTCCATGGAAGCTTTCCTCTCCTCTTCCGAGATGCCACTTGCAACAAGCTGAAGGGAAAAAAGATCTTGTGAGATTTCAGCTATAATCAAGGTTATCACTTGAATAAGGGCATATTCGTATGACCAAAAACCAATTATACCTCTTGAATGTAGAATTGTACAGCACAGGAGTAGCTGAGAACACAGAGTCAAGGACAGGGACAAGGAGGAGAGTAATGGGAGAGACAAAGAGAAGGAACGTGAACGAGGTAGGAGAGAAAGTGATCGTGAGAGGGATAGGGAGATAGAGCCGTCTAGTAGAAGCAGGAGTCGACCAGAAAGAGAACGTGAGAAGAGTCGGGACCGTGAGTTTAGAGAAAGAGAAAAAGAGAAAGAGCCAAGGGAATGGGACAGAGAAAGCAGGTATCCTTTCATTTCGTTATCATTTACATTTGTTCAGCTTTTGGCTTTTTTATGCATGTTTGTCTTCTTACATTTGGCTTGGGAATTGTTGTAATAGTTAACTGTAAATATTAGTTTTGTGTGTATAATTAGTTTATTTAAATTTAGTTATTAGTTTAATATATATGCATGTTTAATAAATTTATAGTTTGGTATGTTATATTTTAATTTTTATATTTCAATTACATTTGTTTAAATTTTCTTATTTGTTTTAAATGTTCAGGTGTCATTTATGTTATTTTCCATATTATTTTATCTTAAACCGAATATGATCAATTGCATATAAAACCGTATAGTTTATGCGCATTTTGTATTTAATTCATTGGTTTAATTCCAATTTTGTATATTTATTTTAATCCCTGTTTAATATTATTTTCTTTAATTAGTTGTGTAACACCCCAAACCGATGCGGGTAGCCCGATCCGATTCGGGAAGTCACATTAGGGTCACCGGAGCGACCCACCGTAAACATAGCGGAAATTTTAAAACTTTTTATCAGAACATGTAAACTTATAAAATCATTTATCACTATTTAAAAATAAAACAGATTTCCAAACTCGTATATAAATCAAAATACAATTACATGCCCCCTATTCACAAGTACCATACTCTGCAACCACGCCGGAAGAACTCCCTTACTGAAGTCGATAGATGCACTGATATAATTGTTTTAACCTGAAAAGGTGAGTAATAGAGTGAGCTTTGGAAAGCTCAGTAATACAGAACTACCAGATGATGCTACATGACATGTAGATAAATAGAAAGCCATATAATTTCCTTATTGAATCATATGTATACCAGCTTGTAGAATAATTTGGGGTTCCCTTAGAAGTTCATCGAGTAGAAGCCATGAATCTCAGTTCATAAGAAACCTTTCATACAATCACGTTTTCATGAGGTTAAATAGGATGTCTAGTGTGTTTCATCAATACGATAAAATCATAATAGGTACACTAATCAAATGATAGTTCAGTAAAATCCCATAAACCATATTGTAGTGGAGCTTTTTAAACTCGTATTTTAAAACCATCTTACAAAGAATTAACCTAAGGGAACATCTTAGGGCCTGAGAGCCTACCCAAGATAGATTTCGGGGCCGTGGGGCCTACCTAAGAACACATCTTAGGGCCGCAGGGCCTACCCGAGAATGATCTCAGGGCCGCAGAGCCTACCTAAGTGTCACATTAGGTCCATAAAAATTTTCCAGCTTGATCAGAGCTGTACTTTACAAATCTGTATCTCCAAGATACAGTTTATACAATGATACAAATCCATATGCCATCACCGTTAAGTCGGTGCATCCATAAAACAGAAACCATAGATTTCAGTGTACCACGTGTTAAAACAATAAAACAATTTTTTTCAAAATATAAGGAACACACTAGAGAATCCATATATTTTTCAGACGCATTTTGTAGTTATCAATATAGATAACACGAACTTGTGCAATTTGATCAGATTCCAGGAATAAGATCTCATTGAAGAGAATCAATTTCTAACCGATATAATCAGACATTTCTGATTGATACTTTAGAATTCCACTAAGTTTCCATGTGCATCAGGAAAACGTTCAGGAACCTTTTTACATAATAATTCTAAATTCAGATTTACTGCGAGTGATTCCATTACCCAAACAATCAGGGGTATTCAGGAATATACTTTGAATTCATAGGATTTCAGCCCAATTGTACCAAATGAGGTATTCAGAATCTTTTCCTTCTGCGTTACTTGCGTTTTCAAACATGACCGAATTGATTTTAGATCAAAATATGTAATCGAAGATTCAAGTCATTTACGATCTATGACTATCGATAGTATTATCAAACAACTCAAGTTACACAACTCACAGACTGATGCATGTCAACAAATCAATTCATTATCCTTCCAATGCATTCACTCTTTAATACCAAAATGTATATCAATAGATCATCCCCATAATTATCGCTGAATAGATCTTCCAACGGTCTTTATTACATTTCCATGTTTCAACGATATCAGAAAATATGGACGTACTTGATTCATGTTCATAACCCATAAGGACAATTCATACAGTGTTTTCAAACTCATCCAATCACCTATTTAATCTTCGGTCATTGAGGTTACTTAGTTCATTTAGTAAGCAAGTTTATCCCGGTTACTTTAGAGTTTTCCAGAATAGTTCAGACATTTCTGAATCTCAAATACATGTTGCACTTCCTTTCAATTCAATTTAGTCATATAATAAAGTCATTCTGGTATTCGTGGTTGATTTATCTCACGAATACCCACTTATTAGTACTGTATGCACTCTAAAGTTGAGCTGAACCAAGTACTTCCAGAATTATCATCAATCCAAATTTGAGAAGACGAACAAACATTCAAATGGTAATTATATCATTCAGGTAATGATATAGCACTAGCGTTGGTTGATCACTTAAGTTGCGTTCCATAATTTTTACTGGTAGCACAACATCCATGTTTATTTGGATTTCTTAATTAATCCAAGACATTTACTTATTCTAGGTCATAAGGGCATTTTGGTTCTCAACGTTTTTCTATTCATTACAAAGCTTTGAGTATATCCATTCATTCATGAGCTTGGTGACATTCTTGAGTCATTTCCATTCCAGGGGTATTTTGGTCATTTTACAGATCCAATGTATTTCCATCATTTCCTTACGTCCGATCTTATTATTTAATTTAATCTTATCACTTACTTCAGTCCTTTCAAACAATTCTGACCAAATAGCACATTCGATAAATCATTCTTCAGGTATTTACTCAATTCGGTAATTTCCAGGTTAAATGTCTTTTCAAATGTTACTAACAAATTTTCAGAAAATTTTCCATACAAAGGTAGGATCTCAACAACCAAATCAGTAATTTATCGATTTAAAAACAAATTCTCATGTTACTCTTTCATTTAGAGTCAACTTGGACTATTTTACCTCTCAAGGGCATTTTCGTAATTTCTTAACCAGATAATTTCGGTATTAACTCTTAACAAAAAAATAATATAATTTGGAGATCCTATATTAATTGCTTTCCCAAACATTCTTTGATCTTGAAATGATTCTTTAACCGACTTCTAGTATCTTGCACAAACCCTCGGGTTTAAAAACCGGTTATCCATATTTCCTAAGCAAAACTAGCATTTCATATGCACATATGAAATTTTATCGAATCAATATATCTTTTCAGAGTTATTAACCAACTTCCAAGGACAATTCTTGTCATCTTACAATATAAGGGTATTTTCGTAATTTTACCATACCGGAGTATTCTCATAATTTCTCATCCAAGTATCTTTAACATTTAACCCTTGATGATATAAAATATAAGTTACAAATCCAGAGCTGATTTCTTTATCACCAATCACAAACTTGTAATTTAATTCTAACAATTATCAATCTCTTATCTTAGTCATTCGATCCGTATTCAGTTACAGAATTTCTACCACATTCATATCGAGTGAATAAATTATTCAACTCCACAAAAGTGACCAACATTATCTTATTCATGCATTTACCAATATCAACATGTTCCATAAAGCATAAAGAGGTAGTAAAGTATTACCTCGATTTTCGTGCAATACCGATCAACCATAAAAATTCCATTCAAACACCCTCGATCTTTGATTCAACTTCCAATATTTTCCTCTCGATCCAGACCATCAAAATTACTAACTCGTATCCAAATAATTTTCCTCGTCATAAAGAAAACTTATTAGAATTGAAATAATAATTTGGAAACCCAATTAATATAATAGAATACTTGTGGGGTTACTATAATAATTAATCACTAAAATTAGGAACTGGACCGAATTAATTTGCACTATTGAGCCATAAATTAAATCTAATGGAAACTATGAGACAAGGTCAGTTCTTACCATTCTTGGATGACTAACTTGGTGATTTTCCCATTTGCACTTTAATACAACCCCCAAAATCACGTGCACTCCATTTCACGTTCATTTTAAATATTTTTTTCCTTTCTTCATGTTCTACGCTGCAAGTAAAGCAAGAAAGCTTGCCAGACGATCGTCGGTACACCGCATCAACCACCGACATCATTTCGTTCATGTCGAACTTCAATAAAATCACGAACTTGGTTCTGTTCGCGAGCTTCCCGATTGCAAAAACTCTGAATCCATATATGTGGAACATGAGAATGGTGCAAATATAGGTTTCCTCTGGAGTGCTAATGTTTGAAAATGCTTGCACTAAAGCCATGAGATTTCTGTGAGATGATAACATACCTTTACTGGCACCTGTTGTGCCAGACGAATACAATAGGATCGCCACGTCATCTTGGTAAACTCAATCCCTGACTCGGATCTTATCCATCATCGATAATTTCTTCATCATTTTGTTAACAATATTTAATAATTTAACTTGGCCGATGTCTTCAATCGTCACTGGCTCATTGTCAAAAAGTACGACGGGGATACCCGATCCGGCCAGTTTCGGGACGAGTTAGCCAGTGGTGAAGACAAGGACGGGCTTCGAATCGGCCATCTGTAACACGATTTCACGAGGTGTATTGAGGGTGTTGCCATGGAGATTGTTTCCTTTGTTCGAGCAGTTTCTTCACTTGCTGAAACTCCATTAACTAGAACCAAGAACTTGTGGGAAGATGCCGAGAACATTGAACAAACTGGCACCAAAAATACCAGTTCCGAACATTTGAAATAAAAGATTAGAGCTGTTGGAAATGACAAAGCAATACCTTTTATTTAATTGATTTCCAGCTTTTGGTGGATACAAAAGCTAGCTGGTTGAAAGTGAAAGTTGAAAGCAATGTATTACAACCTTATCTGCAATACCATTATCCTTACTTAAAAAATTATATATCTTATTGAGTGGCCCTCAATTTGTTTCATAACATAATAGTATGATAACACACTCATTTGAAAATCAACTT